TGAGAAAAATTCTTTGTAGAAGTGCGTAGTTTTATTGTCATTTATAGGCTTACAAATTCGGAAAGATCAAATCTATCCAAGACTCTACTTGACTAAAAAGTAGGAAAACATACTAGAAAAAGTTGCAACTAAATCAGAAAAAATAGCAACCTAACAAAGACTCTTTCAACTCGACTTATTCAACTCACATTAAAAAATCCTACGTTGCAAACATAGTAAAAAAACAGATTTGAACCAATTCTCAACATTCTTTCCTCCCATGGAAAAAATATAAGACAATGAGTAGTCATCATCTTTATTAAGGTAAAAAGATTAATTATCTTGGAAACATTTTCTATTGATGTGTTAGGCAGCTTGAAAAAATCCAAATATATTTGACTGGTCTAAACCTTTATGAAAATCAAAACCCCGTGGTATTTACAGGAATTAAGACCTTGATCATTAATATTCATGTCACCATTTGGAGATTTATCCATGTTTACCAATTGATATAAAAGAATGATTTTTTCTCTTTTGGTTTGCAATTTTGTAATGGTCCTTTGGGTCATTTTCTCTATTTTGTGGTATTTTCGGTATTTAAAACTTTCCTGTTTTGACTCTAAGTCATTTATGACTTGTTAGGACAGACAACTTGGTCACCTGATTGTACGTTTGATGTTACTTTGGTAAGTTTCTATGTTTTGGAGCAATGTTGCGATCACCGGAGTAACGATTAAAGTGATTAACTGTTCTTGCTTCATTATTTTATTTTCCGTTCGAGAGTGTTGAGAGCTATTTTCTTGTGAAATCCATTGCATTGAGCTAAGAGTACCGTGTGGGAATTGTTAAGTTCACTATTCACGCTCCTAAACATGTAAGTTCTCGTTTTAATTGTTGAATTTAGTTTAAAAATGGATTTCTTAAACTAGTTTCTTGTTTAACACAAACAAAGCTAAATTTTTTTAAAAAAATCTTCAGCTAATTTGTCAGATGTAAATGATATATACTATTTCTAATATATCTTGCCAAATGTGAATACTTAATCCTATAAAATAAAATGAATGACTCATCATAATGTTTTTAAATGTTTAAATTGGGATAGTTGAATTATATCTTATTTATTCAATGTTGAATTTAACACATACTCTAAGTCATAAAATCTTTTGGATCTTTTAAAAAAAACTTAAATTTAAAAACATAATATCAGTTGATTTTCTATTAGATTAGATACAACAACTAAAACTTTTAAAGGAAATGAAGTATTTGCAATAGCAAATCAGAAGGAGAAAGCTAAGAGACCGACATTTGATACCTTTGAGTTCTATAGAACATTATCCTATAAATATTGAGATGAGAAGGAGGTCAAAAGATGATTTTATTGAAATCTGCTAGCCATCTTAAATATATAAACTACAACTAACTTAAGCTAAACTGTAGGCCACTACTATAGGCAACTACTCCTAGGTATGCTCCACATCAGGAGACTTAGTCAATGTATAATAAAACAGTAAATGAGATAACTAAAATACTATCCTATGACTTGGTCAAAAGCAAGCTGAAACTTAAGATACGTTAATATACCCCCTCAAGTTAGGCATGGTGTAACAATACCTAACTTGGAATGACATCTAGTAAAGGCTGATTTAGGCAGTGGCTTGGTGAAGGTATCAACAAGTTGATCACAATCATGAGTATGAGAAACTTGAACTCGATTAGCTTAAACCTGGTCACAGACATATGCAAAATCGACAGCAACATGTTTCATACGAGTATGAAACACTGGGTTGTGAGATAAATAAGTAACTCCAACATTGTCACAGTAGATGGTTGGTGTCTTCAGAACGGTGACATATAATTCATGAAGTAAGTTTCACACCCTAGTAAGCTCTGCAAGTGCATTGGCGATTGATTTGTACTTGGCCTCGGTGGATGAGCGAGCCACATCATGTTGTTTTTTTGACGACCAACTGACTGGATTTGGTTCAAAGAAAAGAATGTAACCTGAAGTAGAGATTCTATCATTTGGATCACCAGCCCAGTCTGCATCAGCATCCATATACAAATTAGAGTCAGAGCTGCGAAGGATGCGAAGTCCTGAGATTACAGTGTCTTTGAGATATCGGAGAACTCATTTAACTACTTTCCAATGTCCATCAGTCGGATCATGCATACATTGTGACAATTTATTGACTGTATAAGAAATGTCAGGCAGAGTGAGTGACAAATACTGTAATTTGCCAAGGGTACGCCGGTAGCGCGTGGCCTCAGTAGGTGGAGAACCATCAGCTACTCGTAGTGGAACACTGGAACACATGGGAGTAGAAACACCTTTACAATCGTCTATATCCACTGACTAGGGTGTCGTCAATATAGAAAAACACATAAATAGTTACTGCCTGAGTCTTCCAGACAAATAAAGAGGTGTTGGATTTTGTCCTGACAAAGCCAATTTGCAGCAGATATTCCCGCAGAGCATTATACCAAACCCGTGGGGCTTGTTTGAGGCCATAAATAGCCTTCTTCAGTTTGCAAATAGGAGTCGGGAATCGAGAATTAATAAATCCTCGGGGTTGAGACATAAAAACCTCTTCATCCAATTTTCCTAGTAGGAAAGCATTATTGACATCAAGTTGGTGGATTGGCCAGTTGTGTTGCACAACTATTGATAACACTTAGCGTATGGTTGTTGGTTTGAAAATGGGACTAAATGTCTCATAAAAATCTAAGCCGGGGAGTTGCGTGAACCCTTTTATAACTAGACGAGCCTTGAAACGGTATATAGAACCATCTGCTTTTCTCTTGATCCTATACAACCATTTGTAGTAAACAACATTTTTGGATGGGTCTCGTGGTACGAGTTCCCATGTCTGATTTCTTGTTAAAGCAACACACTCCACTTTCATCGCTTGTCTCCACTCTTCATGTTTGTCGGCTTGATTGAAAATTGCAGGCGTATGATTCAATTGGGCGAGGAAAGAGAGTCTTCTTTTTGGTTTGAAGATATTATTCTGGGACCTAGTGAAAATTTTGTTTGAAGGCGGTGGGGAAATTGGCTCAGCAGGTATAGCAGGAGAGAGATCAACTGCTTGGTTTGAGGGATTGAAACTCGGATGGGATGGCAGGGGTGGAGGAGTGGGAAAGTTTCTAGTTGTGGTTTTGCGTTGCTGATATGTAAGCAATGGTTTACGTGGAGTAGTTTTATGGGAAGAAGGAGGCGGAGGAAGTTGTGAAAAAGAAGGAGATGAGAGTGGCATATTACCTTATGTTTCTGCAGCTATTAGTACTTGGCCGTTGTTGTTGGCGTGAGCATCATTGAGGCAAGAGGTGGTAGTGTTATAGTTGGACTCTACAGAGAGTGGAATAAGTGATGGAATAAAGAGAAGGGGACTTTGAGTTGTTGTTGGATTGTCCTTGTCAGATGCAACAATTTCCCAACTTAACTGGGAAATATATTTTCGTAAATGAATGAACATTTTTTAAAAAGGAAATTCATTTTCAAAAACTTGTACATCACGACTGACGAAATTTTTGGATTGAACGGGTCAAGACAAATATGAGCATGGTGAGTTTGAGAGTACCTAAATACACGTATGTGGTGGACCGGGGCTCAAGTTTATGTTTCGTATAAGGTTTAAGCCCAGGGTAACAAAGACAACCAAAAACTTTGAGGATGGTATAGTCAGGAGATCGACCAAATAATATTTGGTAGGGAGACTCATTATTCAGGATAGGAGTGGGAAGTCGGCTAATAAGGTAGACAACATACTGACAGGCAAACGACCAAAGATCAGATGGTAAGGATGCTTCATGAAGAAGGGTTTTAGCGGTTTCAAGAATGTGACAATGTCTGCGTTCAGATATGGCAACACGTTGTGGTGTGTAAGGAGGTGAAATTAAGTGTTCAATGCCATGTTTCTGAAGATAGGGCTTAAGACTTATGAACTCACCACCGCCATCTGTATAAAGTGAAGAAATTTTCTACTAAAGGATGAAACTTTGGAAATATTGATGCAACCTCACTTTTATGTTTAACGGTATACAACCAAGTATACTTGGTGTATTGGTCAACAAAAATACAGTAATATAATTTCTTGTCAAGTGACAAAACAGGGGATGGTCCCCATAAATCACTAAAGATAATTTGTAGAGGAGTATGACTAGATAAAGTGAGTCGTTGAAATGGCAAACGATGCGATTTATTAGAAGAACAAGCATTACAAAGCTTAAACTTTTCTTTTCTAGCAACAACGGGTAAAGAAAACTTCTGCAGAATAAAATGTAAAATCCTAAAGTGGGGATGACCCAATCGACAGTGCCAGAGTTGAAATGGGGTTTGTGTGGAAGCAAGGTGAACAGATGGTGTCTTGGATTGTAGATGAGGCCACTCATACAACCCATTTTTATTTCGGCCTTGTACCAGCGGCTTCAGAGTATGCAAATCCTTCACAACAAAAGTAAAAGGAAATAATTCAATAGATGTGAGGTTATCTCGGCAAAACTTAGCAACAAATAAGATTCTTTTTTATGGATGGAGCACACAGTGTGTCAAGAAGCTTAAAAGCAGTTTTGGATGCTTGAATTATAGTTGAACCAGTATGAGTAATAGGAATAGTTTTACCGTCACACATAGAGATTTCTTTAGTTCCAGTATACTCTTGAAGGTTGTGAGGTTCAGAAGTCACATGGTGAGTTGCTCCAGAGTCGAGAACCCAAGAGTTTCCAGATGATTGCTGTCCAGATGCAAAGTGAGCCTTAGCTTCAAAATGATTGTGTGACTTAGAGTTACAAACATCAGCCGTGTGATCAAACTTTTGGCACAATTGACATTTGACAGATTGCTTGGATGGTTTCCTGTTTTGCTGATTGTTGGAATTCCATTCGCGAGACTGCGATGCTTTCCATGGTTGATTGTTAAAGTGAGTCTTGTTCCCATTGAATTGTGGAGGCGTGTGGGACTTCTGGGCAACCACAACTATGATCATAGAGGATGGTTTTTCCTGATATTGATGTTTTAGGAACAACTAATGATCTGTGAGCTTGTGAAGTAATTCTTCAAAGCTTAAAGAAGAGTCTCGTGCGCGTATTGCAGCAGAGATTTCACAGTACTCAGGTTCAAGGCCACTTAGAATTTTGACAATAAGTTCATCGTCATTGACGGGTGAACCAGCAACTTTGAAAGCATCTGAAAGAGAACGAACTTCCTGTAAGTATTCTGCAATGGTTTTGGAAGCCTTCTTGGTATTTTGCAACTGATCTCGCAGGCTAAAGATGCGAGTATGGCTTTTGTTGGCGTACGTTGTGTGAAGGAGTTCCCATGCTTTGTTAGCAGATGGTGCTGCTGCAACAGTTAGAGTAATTGTCGAATCGACAGATGCCATCATTGCTTGTTGGATTAGTTGATCTTGAGAGAACCAAATCTGATACTTGGAATTTGCTACAATGAGATCGTTTTGGGTAATAATAGGTGATGGAGCAGTTGTGGTTCCATTAAGATGTCCCATGAGTTGATGTCCATTTAGTAGCATTATAAGTTGTGCTTTCCAAATGGAGAAATTGAGGTTACCATGTAGTTTAATAGGTAACTGAGCAACCGGGATAAATTGTACCACATGAGTGGTGGCAGAAACTGCAGAGCTGCTGGCAGTAGTAGCATCAGTAATTGGAGCCATATATAAGAAAGCTTAATGGCAACAAAATGGATCTAACTCGGTGGAGCTTATGGAGGCTCGGATACCATATAAATATTGAGATTAGAAGGAGGTCAAATTATGATTTTATTGAAATTTGCCAGCCATCTTAAATACATAAACTACAACTAACTTAAGCTAAACTGTAGGCCACTTGGCCTACTGTAGGTAACTACTCCTAGATATGCTCCACATCAGGAGACTTAGTCAATGTATAATAAAACAATAAATGAGATAAATAAAATACTATCCTATGACTTGGTCAAAAGCAAGCTGAAACTTAAGATACGTTAATATATCCGACCCCACCTTTCCTTAGCGGTTCAAAATTTCGTATCTTTCTAATTCAGTCTATTCTTTTAGAAATGTATATTAACGTAAATGACTTTCTTTTATCACAAGACTTGTTGAAATAAACCCAGAATAATAAGGAACTGGGTTCCTTAAGTTGCACGCCATTATCGGCTCAAACCAATTTGGCTAGTACATCAAGTCATCTCAATTAATACTTCATTACACTTAACTCATAATATGATTTACACAATTATTAAGTTGTCAGTCAACAAAAACAAAGCATAATTATCTGTACAATAGATCATAAACAACATTTGTATCTATTAAAAATATCGAATTACTATTCCAGGGTCATCTGACTGAATGTTACTGATGTACCATGAGTTTACAGTACTATTGATACGTTTCACCTAGGATTTGTGAATGTCTAAGGCATTTTTGTGTTAGTTTTATGTGTTTTTTTTTATAATTTCAAGAAATAAACTCAGGCGTGAAAAGATGAAGATGTAGCTGGGGCAAGTGCTGAAAAGAGTCACCTACGGAGGAACTTACGAACTGTAGGATGAGTGACGCCCCGCAGATAAGGGTCGTGGGATGACCAGGCATGGCAAGTTTGAAGCTCATGGAGATCTGCCCAAGTATGGAACCACGGTGGGGATTGACGGATTGTCGAATGACTTACGGTCCGTCCTGCAGCTCCGTAGAAGTGATCAGAGGAGTGGTTCCAGTACCTGAGTTGAAATAATCTAAGTATCGAGCGACGAAGGTGACTGACGGTCCGTCGTCTCACTGATAGACCGTGCTGCTGGTTCGTGGAAGCTGACTGAGAGAGGTGGATTTGTGAAGATTTCAAATAGGCTAAGTATAGAGCCATGGAAGAGACCTATGGACCGTCATTCGACTTACGGACCGTAGGTCAGCCTCGTGGAATGGAGACGCGTCCTGCAATTTTATTTCTTTATTTTGTTTCCCTTTTATTTTAGGATTTGCTTTCTATAAATAGGGTATGTAAACCTCATTTTTGGGGGTTAGATTTTATTACTTTTGTTCTAGTTCTTGACTTGGGATATTAACTTGCAACTTTAGCAATTCTTAATTTCCTAAGTTCGTTTTGAAGATTTTGGTGTTGCAATTCAAGTTGAATTTTTGGGTTTATTATTCTTCTTACGTAAATTCATAATTCTTTCAGCTAAAACAATGAATTGTGTACATATGATTATGGGTAGCTAAACTGCACAACTAGGGTTGTGGGAACCATGAACGATTAACAAAGTATGAATAGT